CAGTATTACAGGTTTGTAAGAAAAGTAGCATTATTTTATAATATTAAGTTAAAAAAAGGCAGAAAATGATATGTACTGAATGATTGCTTAGCACTAGGTAAAAATCCCTCTATGTAGAAGAAGCAACAGAAAGAAACATAAACTATTAATGGCAGTATTTGAACGGTGACAAAATTGGTGATATTATTTTCTTCCCTTTTATTTTCAAAATTTTCTTAAAGATCATGTATAATTTTTGCAATGAAAAAGCAGTTAAAAACAAAATATTTGTTGTATGAGGTCAAAATAAAGAATATCTTTTTAGTATATTCAAGTTGCTTGTGAAATTGGATGAACCATATCTGCTGTTAAGGTTATGGAGTTGAGCTTTACCTTAAAGCTTGACTTTCACTGCCAACTAACATATTTATCCAATATTTTATGCTGTATGTTGGATTTACACCACTGGTTATTTTAAAGTATATATTGTTTTATGGAAGAAAAGTTGTTGCCAATAATAATTGTGAAACATGTAGATTGTAAAATGCATCCTGATTTCACAGATATTAAATGGATGTTGATAAAATATGGTAAATAAGAACCTAAACTATCTACTTATGTTTATTTTCTTACTGAAGAAGATACTCATTTCAGACGTATTTATGGGCAACAAATAGCACATGCATGTGGGGAGTGGGTAGCACAACCTCACAAGGTTTTTTAAGGCAGGGATTGGCACACTACCCGTGGCTTGCTGCCTCTGGAAGCTAAGAATTGCTTCTTTATTTTAAAGTTTTTAGGAAAAGAAAAACAGCCAAATAAGAATATGTAACAGACTGAAAGTGACCTGCAAAGCCTAAAATATTTATTATCTGGCCCTTCACAGAGAAAGTTTGCCAAACCTTGCAAAGGTAGTAACTGAAGCTTAGAAAAGTAGGAGGATAGAATTGTCAGGGTCCCTAGAGACCAGGTAATTTGGAGTCAGACACAGGCTGCCCTGTGGCTGATTTGGCCCTCAGAAGGTTTTGTTTGGCCTGCATTGTGTTGAAATTTTTTTCTGAGTTGTTGCCACAGGAGGCATAGCATCAATATCCAGAAGTTGTCAAATTTCCTATTTCTTTTCCAGGTTTCTGGCTCAGTTTAACTGTAGTATCCCTGACTTTTTAAGTCTATTTATGTAGTGGTGGCAAATGGTAGTTATTACTTACATGTGTGAATCAGAATTTTCTTGATACACTACACTCAAAATGTAGGAATGAGTTAGGTGTTGAAGCTGATGTACAATTGTGTTTCTCCTCAGTCTGCAGTTTCCAATATTTTTCTCAGAGCACTATCATTGTTCTTATTTATTAAGAACATAATCTTCAGCTGTAAATTTTTGTATTCATAAAATTGAATCATGCTTATTTATTAAACTTTTAGTTTATAATTATAAATTTGAACTTGCAAAATATACACTAAATTTATCTAATATATTTAAATCATATTTC